CCCGACCCGACCCGACCCGACCCGACCCGACCCGACCCGACCCGACCCGACCCGACCCGACCCGACCAGTGGCCCAACTCATCAAAACCTCCAGATCGTGTCGTCGCGCACACCCGAAAGGAAAGAGAGCACGCCGGAAAACACAAACGCAAGTTTTCGAGGGGGATCCGGAGGAAACTTTCGACATTTATCTGAAGCCGACATCCAATACAAGAGAGAACGAGGCCTTTGCTTCCGATGTGACGAAAAGTTTGGGCCAAACCACCGATGTTGAAGCAAATCCTTGCAGATTCTGTTGGTGTTGGATGAAGATGAAACCGAGAAGAGTGAAATCCCACCAGAAGTTGACGAAAATCACAGCCAAGAGGGAAACGACTTGGCTCTGTCCATGAACTCTATCGTGGGCATAACTTCCGACAAAACGTTAAAGGTAAAGGGTCAGATTATGGGTTTAGACGTCGTGGTGTTGGTAGACAGTGGCGCGTCACATAATTTCATCTCTCTGGAGTTGGTCGAGAGGCTTGGAATTACAGTGGAAAAAGGGAAAATGTTTGGGGTGATGGTGGGAAACGGAGTCACTGTGAAAGGGCAAGGGGTGTGTAGACAGGTCATGCTGGAGGTACAAGGGATTGAAATCAGACAAGACTTCTTTCCCTTTGAGCTCGGTAGAGCTAATATTGTTCTGGGTATAACTTGGTTGAGTTCCTTAGGGGATGTCTGCGCTAACTGGAAAAAGTTGACGATGAGCTTTGAGCTGAACGGGGGCAGAGTTAATTTACAGGGGGATCCTTCTCTGGTAAAGTCGGGTATCTCATTAAAGTCAATGTTACGGACCATCAACAACAACGGGGGAGGGTTTCTAGTGGAATGTTGCTCGCTGGAAGAAAAATCCATGAACGAAATGCCATCCTTCAAGACCTCAAGCACAACCTGGAAGCTGCACAAGTTCACATGAAAACACAAACAGATCGTCATCGACGAGAAGTTCAGTTTTCACCAGGAGAGTATGTGTATCTTCGCCTACAACCTTACAAATTTAAATCCTTGGCCACATGGCTGAATGAGAAACTGAGTCCTCGATTTTATGGGCCTTTTCGGGTCTTGGAGAAAATCGGCCAAGCAGCATACAAGTTAGAACTGCCCCCTGCAGCCCGTATTCACCCTGTTTTTCACGTGTCCCAGTTGAAGCACAGCTTGCATAGCTCAGTTTCTGTACAACCTCTGCCTTCCTGTCTCACCGATGACCTGGAACTGCAGGTTCAGCCTGCTGAGGTAATGGATGTCAGGCCTCTTATTGATGGCTCCACTGAGGTCCTCATTCGCTGGCACGATTTGCCTATTTTCGATACTACGTGGGAGTCTTTTGAGGTCATCAATAGCCAATTTCCCCAATTTCACCTTGAGGACAAGGTGGCACTTCGAGGGGCGAGTATTGTTAGACCTCCCATACATAAGGTCTATAAATACAAGGGTAGGGGAAGGAATAAGGATAAAGGGACACGTTGAGGTGTGTTTGTTACAAAATGGCGAGGTGTGCAATAAGGGTTGTTAGGATTGATGAGTTTGTTAGGAGGTTGTACACCTGGCTGTCATAAGGGTTACAGAATGAAAAAATTAGCTTATAAAAAGGAGAGAATGTGGGAGAGTAGGATATCAAGTAATATTGTTTTCTGGAATTGTTTGGGAGGTCCCCAGCTCCTCGAATTGCTGGGAACTATCAGTCATTTCATTTGTTCTGTTTCATGTTTACTCAATATCTATAAATACAATCTGCTTTTGTCTTTTATCTGTGCCATTGTTTGTCTGTGTATGTGTTATTGGCTGTGAAACTTTGGATTGCAGGAGGTTTCCAACAGAATGAAGGGAAAATACAACACTTATCGATTTTGCAGACTGACTCCCCATCCTGACCGATGTAGAGTGCAATGCAAGGAGTCCCCATACCAACCACATCGCACTCCACATCAGTCGAGATAGAGAGTCGGTATGCAGAATCGGTAAGTATAATCTCACTCTAAATGAAGACCCTGAAATGGCTTATATTGAGGCCCAATGATTGGAATAAGCTTGAAGTAATCCGGCCCAGGAATTTTATACAGTGAACATATTGATGCACAAAGTCTAAGCATGCAGCAGAAAATAATACAAAAATCATCCAGAAACAACTCATTTCCCTTGTTAAAATATGAAAGCAGGACTAACTTCCACAGGCCAAGAACTCTTCTCAATTCTCCAATGAACGTATCAGTATTTCTCCCATATTGACTTCAACATCATCATCCACCTGGTTGGTTTTTTCCTGTTTCAAAACAAAACAACCAGCATTTCATGCCACTATTATGCAGGTTTTAACTGTTAAGAGCATTATTGGGTATTCTCAGGGCAAAAGGAAAATATTATTTCATGATTTTTGATATGACTTCTCTCATCTGGATCTATTCTCAAGTAGGATTTATTAGTTCGAAACCATGGATGACTAGATGAAACAAAAGCTTATGGAACATTCAAACATGCTTTAATGCAATAATGAGAAGAGTATTATGTACATTGAAAATTGATTTTTTTGGAAATTTTATCGGTCCTGACTCGTAAATTCTATGTTTTGTGGAAATAAAAACAGAAAATTCATATCCGAATGCTTATTGCACATTTTACTAGGAAAAAAACAGGAAACGATTTCATTCATAGACGAAACTGGTACAGTGCAATCATACTTGGGGCGGTGGGGTTCCCTCATTGCAAACAATGGGAGTAGCATGAGTGAAGCAATGCTGAGACATAAAATGGTATGTTTTGAGAGCAGAATCAATGTCGTTTTTGTGGATTTCTATAGCAGTCCTCATCAACATTTGCTGTGGTCTTTCTACAACCTTACCATCAACCTTTAAAAGGAAGAATCTCTCGAGTGTTTTGAAGCCAAAATAATCATAGCTAAAATCTCTGTGATAGATGATCTCACTGTCCAGCCGTGCAGCACTCTGCAGAACCAAACAAAGAGAAGAATTTCTGAACCTCCTTATCGACATAAATCAACTAAGGCTAAAAGAAACTATTTCAGCCACAGATTATAAGCAAGTAGCTCTGCAGACAGATGCTCATTTATACTTTAAATAAGCTCAATGAATCTAAAAATTGACTTGAGTAAACAGTGATAGACACATAATATTCATTGGAAAATTAATGCTATATGTTCTAGAATCAGGTTCTGCTGACTTACCACAAGACAATAATTTCGTATGTTTTCAATGATTTAGAAAGTGAATGAAGCTAGTAAATTATATAATACTTTTCGAGTTTAAAACTAAATAGTTGGATCGAATTAGATGAGCTTTTTGAAGTTTCTATCTCATTTTAATTTGCAAGATCTCAATCCTATTATAAAATTTACTAAAAATAAATGTGTCAAACACCTTGATGATTGTATCATAAACATCATCTGCAACGAGAGGCGCCTTCTGCCCAGACCTCTTATCACAATAGTTATGCATGACTTTGATCCTGCAATTGCCATCCAGGGAAAAACCATAATCAAAACAAACCAAATTAAAGCAAAAATATTCTTAAAAACAATTACATTAAACACACACGTCTCGGAAAAAGACTTCTTCGTATTCTTATGCAGACTGGAAACAGCAATCCTCCCAGCCAACTGTATCACATCATCAAAAATGAAACAAATCAAAACCCAGAAACCAAACTCAATACCAAAAAAATAACCAAATTTGAAAATTCGGACCCAAATAACCAAATTTAACATTGATCTCACTGTTATAAACTCAAAAGATCATGCGTATTTCTTAGTATATGCTTTAAAACATTACTAGATCTCAAGTGGTCAAATACTTAATTGGGTTTTCTGAGTCAAATTTCAAGAATAATGAACAAGCAAAGAAATCATAAACTTCACAAAACAAGAAGCCAAAACTAACAAAAATCACGAACCAAAGCATAATCAGAGTGGTTGGCAGTCATTGCAGCAGCAGTCTCACCAGCTAACTGGTCAAGTTCGGTAGTGGTGACACCATTGCGGAGACCGGCACAGACTTTCTGGGCCACAAGCACTGTGTCACAGTGCTCTTCACGCAGCCCGTAGCTCAGTTTCTTTAACCGAGCCGCGATCTTGGCGAAATGCACCGGTTCTTCGCGCCCATTTCTCTTTATAACATACATATTTTGCATGTAAGTATTGACAAAGAACTAAACAAGAACTGCAGTGAAGCTCGGTGTAAGTTCTCTCTGTTGGGATTTTCATGGAGGGATTCATTTATATAGATGAACAATTAATGATTGGAGAAGAGTGTTGAAGAAGAAAGAGCCAACGGTTTGAATTTGAATGAGAAGCTTATAACATTGATGTATTGTTATTATTTTTGTTTTACTTGGAAGATTCCCGCCAACGCGTAAAAAGAATAAACCGTGGGCCTCCTTGGGGTGGGATGGGCAGAAACGGGCCGGGCTTTTGAGCTTTGGGCCCTAAGTCTTGACCAGGAAGAATAAATTTCGTAATTTAAAATTTTCGTATAATTTATAGTTTTTCATTTATTACATCTTAAGTGACGTAATAAATAGCCACATTTAACCTAGCTTACAATAAATCGAAAATACCATAAGTTTAAAGTTTGTTTAAATGTATGCACTTAATATATTGATTTCATGTTTGGAGTTGTGAACCTATAGATCGAGATCTTATTCAACGAAAAATACACAAAAAATATATAAAGGAATTTAATATATACATTAATTTTTTTCATATTTATTAATTTAACTTTATAAAGTTAATACAGTTTAATTGAATCTAATAACTTAAAATTATTTTGTGATATAAGAAAATACAAATTTGACGTCATTAATTGAAAAATATTCGTGATTTACACTTTATATGATATCAGATTAAATTAAAATATGTAAAATTAGCCATTTTAAAGAAAATTGGGATAATATATCTAGTGCGGGATATCCTATCAGGCGAATAGAATATAGATAAGTAAGCAGCCAAACAAGCAGCGTAATTACAGAAGAAAAAGTATACCAAGAGAAGACGACTTGGAGATTTTATGTGACCTGAAATCTCTGGATTTCTCCCTAAATCTCTGCAAATTTCGGACTAAAAATGACAGAAGATAAGGAATCGACGTCGAGTTCACTGAGTCAAGGCCTAACTCCTCACGACCCGGACGATGCTCCCAAGTCTCCTCCACACTCCCCCAATTCCTCTACTCGCAAGGTAACTAATTTCTTTAATTTAAATTTGAATTTTAAATTTAATTTAAATCTCATTTCAATTTCGCGCCCTCTCACTTTAGTAAAGGCTGTCGTCTTTCTTTTGGCTTAAAATTGGCTAAGCGTTGATTGATAGTCGAGATCGACTTAAGATTAATTAATTGATAAGTTAATTATGCTCTAGTGTTGAAAATTGATGTAATTATTGTGGTTTTATGTTTAATTCGTTAGGTTATTTGATCACATAGTAATATGGAGGTATTGACATTGACGTTGACGATGATTCTAAGCTTAGGAAATAATGTGGGTTAAGTTTTGGCACGGTTCGATCCAGTTTAAACATTGCTACGACAAATTTAATTTGAAGGAATGTTTATAGCTTATGAGAGACCTGTAGTTTTAATCAATGGATGTTTGGCAATTGAATCAACGTCTTGAGAGTTAAAGTATTTTGAATATTAAAAAAAAAAAAAGTGAAAAAAACTGTCCAATTTGGAACTTTGAGCTCAGTGAGTCAGCACAATGTTATAGACTCACGAAGTTTTATAAATTGGACAAAACTGTGAAATTCAAGATGAAGCATTGGAAGACCAAGGGAGTTGGGTGAACTTTGAGTAGTTTAGGAAGCCAACTTGTAAGGGTGTGTTTCTGTATCGCTTTTGAAAGATAGATGTAGATCTGGTTGCTTTGTAAGAGTCTTGCAACTTGGTTGACTAGTGTCCCTTTGTTTCGCAATGCCACAATTGTTGTTTTTTCTGTCTGTATGGACCCTATCACGCTTGAATTTATACTTGTGAATTGGTGCATTCAGAGATATGGGTTAGTTGTTTGTCGGTGCAAGCAATATAGTTCTTGCAAATGTAAATAGGATGCTCTTCCTGCTAGTAAAAGAAAAAGAAAAAATAAACAGGGTCTAGTTCAGTAACTTGTCAAAATTATTATTTGTTTAGGTAGTACGCAAAAGAACTGTTTTCATGTCTCGCCTAATTGACATTTCCATTTCTTCAGGCTTGCTATGCTGTTCTACAAAGTTGGGTCTCAAAGAAGTTCATGACTGGATGGTAATAAGCTTAGAAAGAGACCTTTAGATTTTTTTTTGGTTTTTTGTTTAGTTATATATATATACTCTGTGGTGTTTCACTGTTACATAGTTTTAATGGTGAAATTGCAGTGTGGTTCTCTTTCCAGTTGCCGTCACATTTTTACTCACATGGTGGTTCATTGAGTTTGTTGATGGTTTCTTCAATCCAATATATGCAAGGCTTGGCATAGACATATTTGGTAAGACTTAAAAGCATCAACTGGATGTTCTTCGTATTCTAATGTTTGGGTCTAGATTTTACCTCTCAACATTAAGTTGTGGGTGAGGAAATCATGATATTGACATGGTTTTCCCTCTTCAAAACTGAGAACTCAAGATGTAACAACCGATTGCTTTGTTGATGTTAGGAAAAAATCAGTGATGAACTTTCTGTGTATGTGACATAGCAGACAGAAGCTAAATTTACTAACTGAGTGCCCTTTTTGCTTATATATTAGCAGGTAAGAGCTGCTTGAGCTTTCCAGTGCTATGAAAAATGAGTGATAAAACTATACAAGGAAAATATAGATCTAAATTCTGATGGATTCTAGCTATTTGGGCCAATTTGTGATTGATATAATATTATAAAGAGCATCTTTGAATCACAACTCGTAATTTTGGTCGCTTACCCTTAAGTGTTTGTATATGCTTTGCTGATTTTTCAGCTTATAATCTGTATTGTGGTATGCAGGCCTTGGGTTTCTTACATCTATACTTTTCTTATTCTTCATTGGTGTATTTGCTTCATCTTGGTTGGGTTCCACTGTGTTCGTGATTGGGGAATGGTTTATAAAGCGGATGCCATTTATGAAGCACATATATTCAGCCTCTAAACAAATTAGCTCTGCCATTTCTCCAGGTAATAGTTGCTAGTACTGTTTTCATACGAAGTTTACATTAATTAAATTGTTAAGTACCATCAATGAGGTGGGTTTTATGATGCCCTTTCCATTACAAATCATTTGAAATGAGTAGATTCTACTTTTGATTGATGTTTCAAATAGGGATGAATAAGTTATTTGGTTTGTTTTCTTTCTTTCTTTGTTTTTTGGGCTTTTTATTCCTTGCTATATTTTTATGTTAGAAGAAGTTTCCTAAAGGATTCCGAGGAAGGCATACTTTGCAACTGGCCAGCCAGAAAGCATATGACTTTACCTAGTTTACATTCAGCATTGCTTCAAAATGTTTCCTGAACTCTAAGCATAAAAAATTATAAATGCAGTAATTATAATTTAGGGCAAATCACATGCCAAAACATTTCTTTCTCCTCTTCCCCACCCCTCATGGTGTCTGAGAACAGATAAGGTGGTGACAGTGGACAGATAAGGTTAAGCTGAGATGATAGGAAGAGTTGACACTATGGATCTGGTTCACTGAAGCTGTAGCTGAATGGAAGCAATATCCTTCTTGTCTCCTTTGACATCCATATAAACATATAGGATGCGTTTGGTTCATTATTCTGATACTATAGAATAATATTTTGAAAAAAGTAAATTGGGTGGTTATTACGTGGTAGCATTTGAAAATTAACAAAAATACCCCCCTAGGTTTGTTAATTTACTAAACACCCCTATAATAAAACATTGAAAATTAACAAAAACACACCCACTCACCCATTAAATACCGGCAGCCGTATTGACGCACGACCGGCTGGATCAGGCTGATTGTGCACCGATATGGCATTTTTCGGCCAGATCCACGCTAGATCTGGCTGGAAAAGGCCAGATCTACGGCTAGATCTGGCCATTGACGGCCAGATCTGGTTGTGTTTGGTCGTGACGGTCAGATCTTTGGCCGTAGATCTGGCATTTTTCGGCCAGATTCACAATGGATTTGGCCGGAAAAGGCTATATCGGCGCACTATCGGTTAGATCCAGTCAGTAATACGCCATTATATGAGATTCCGACCAGCTTCTGGCGGTGGTGACCGGAATCTGGCAAATGTGAGTTGGTGGGGTGTTTTTGTCAATTTCTAAATTTTTTTTTAGGGTGGTTAGTTAAATTAATAAACCTAGGGGGTTTAAAAATAATTGAATAAAATAGAATAATATTTTCAAAATAAGGAAACAAATGTGTATTTTGGATAGGATATGGGGAAAATTGTGAAACAAATGCAGCCATACATTTTATATTTTTCTAGTCCTTTTGAAAACATGCAATGATTTTGTTGACTGGGCCTATTAACGGATCATGATTTCAAATATCTTGCTGAATTACATTACTGTTTTAAATTCACATGTGAAGGTACAGGGGGTGTGTTTGTTTGATTTCTCCCTTGTGAGGAAAGCTCAGTTATGATATGATTTATGTGAGAATGTATAATTTTTTTTTTATTTTTTTTGTGTGTGTCTGTGCTTGGCTTTTGATTTGTGTGATATATGTGTGACATTGAAGGATATCAGCAATTTAATAATTTTACAAGTCAATAATGAATCTCTCTTTTTTTTTTCTTACAGACCAGAATACCACTGCCTTTAAAGAGGTTGCAATTATTCGTCATCCTCGCATTGGCGAGTATGCATTTGGTTTTATAACATCATCTCTTGTTCTTCAGGTAACTATTATATCTAAAGAAGCTGATTATTTCCATGGTAATTTACTTCCAGAACCAGCCTAAGTGGATCCAAAAACTTTCTTGTTAATGTTAATTGTTGGTATGCTTAGAATTTGATTCAAAGTTCTTTCCTGCTGCTTCTTTATTTAAATAATATATATCAGAAGGGAACTAATGTAATTTCTTTCAGCTAATTACCTGTTGAAAAATTCATTGGTTTCACCATGGTATATCAGGAAGATCACTAAATTCTCTTGAAATTTGGAAAAAAAAAAAAAAAATTTGAAATTGAAGTAAATATGAGTAGTACTTTCTGCTCAGCAGTGCTTTTGTAGATTAAATTGTTAAAGATATTGTGCATTTTCTGGTTTCACCATAGAAGATGATGTTTTTATTAGTGCCAATGGTCATTACTTGATTCTATTAAAGATTCTCACGGATGATGTTATTTGTCTGTTTATTCCAGAGGGATGATGGAGATGAAGAGTTATGCAGTGTTTATGTCCCAACAAACCATTTATACATTGGTGACATATTTCTGGTCAACTCTGAGGAGATCATAAGACCAAATTTATCTGTTCGAGAAGGAATAGGTCTGTTTCTTCCTTAGACTTAAAACATGAATATTTGTTTTTTGATTCTTTAGAATTGAAGTTTTGCATCTTGTTTCAAGGCAAACTTTTAGGTTTCTTTAACTTTGTGAATTGCTTCAATCATTATAATCTGGATTTTCTTTTGTTAGTGAGAGTATAACATGAAAAATACAGTTAGAAATGTTTGTGATTTGAAGTTGCAAACCATGTTATATATTCTTATCGTCTCATTGACCTCTTTTGTATGCAGAGATCATCGTCTCTGTGGGCATGACAATGCCACAGGTAATTTCTCCTCTAGAAAGGATTCCTCATCCTCAAAGCAATAGAATTCCTCTGAACCGGATAATATGAAGGTAGAGTAGACAGGTGATTGTGCTACTTCTTCAAAAATTCTAAGTTTTCGAATCAAAAGATTTCCGCTGTCATATGGATGGTTACCTATCAACACATCAAATAATATTGATGTTTTGCCTTTGGACCAGGTTTACATGATATACAAATTCTATTTCTCACAGAAGACATTTTTATATGTGGAAAAACAAAGCCATCTCTCTTCATGTAACATCATCACAATTTTACTCTTTTATTATTTTTCACATTTAGACCCAACATGTGCATATATTGTTCAAGTTGTATAATTACAATTTCCAAGCTGTGTAAAGATATAAATTGTCAGATACACATATTTACTTGAAATGTAGTACCATTCTGTATCCTGTTTTCTGTATCTGAAGGCAGTATCTCTCTCTGTATTTTGCCCATAGTGTTAGCTTGAAGTTTTGGCTGCTGCCCCCAGGGACTTTGACAATAATAATCATTCTGTGATCCCATTATCAACTTGTAAATTTCATGTCATTTACCTGCATCTTTAGCTCATTAACGTAAAATTTCCCGGTTTGGAATTAAATGTCTTTTTTGGCACTCAATTGTGAATGAATTACATCTGATATATGTTATTCTCAAAGTATATTCATTATTCAGGTCGGTGAATTTCATTATAAATCAATAAAAACAACTTTTCAAACAGGCACCGAACTACATTCTGTTGAATGATTTGTATGCTAATGCCCCATGTAATACATTAAATTCATTACTTATACCTAATTAAACAGGATTTTTCCATTACTTTGGTTTTAACTCCTTGTTTATAGTCTAAAGCTGAAACCCATCAGCAATGAAGCACAGTTGCTGTAAACAAACAAGAATTAGTTCAAAAATGCAAATCAGAGAAACAATAAATAAATTATCATCCGAACAATTAAAATAGCCTATACATGATACATCACATATGTAATGGCAAATGCTGTATTTGGTTATATTTTTTATTCATTTCTCGTTTTTTTCTGTAGAAAATTAGAAATACATTAAGTTACCGCCTCTTCCTTTGAGCTGTAGGGGGTAATTTCTCTGATGGACTAGAAGGAAGTTTCTGACCTGTCTCTCGTTCAATTCGGCTCTTAAGCTCCCTCAGTATCCGAATTTGTCCCAATTTTTCAGGGGATAATTTGTCCCAGTAGATACCTACAAGTGAAAATGGTTCATTTTATGTCATATTTGTTGTGATCTGATCTCTTCACCACATAACAAGCTAGCTTTTGTTTATGACCCAAAAGATGAACTCATTTCTGTCAAATTATGATAATAATAATAATAATAAAAGACCAAATCCCCTAATAATTCTTCCAAAACCATAAATGGCTCAAGATTATCCAAAAATCTCTCTAGTAAATCTAAGAGAACATTAACGAAATTGGAAGGTTAAAGGAAAAGGAAATAAATAGATTTTTTCTAATTTCCTTATAGTATAATGTATGAACAAGATGGCTTGTCCACTAGAACTAGGGACCTTTCAGAAGATTGATTCATATTTAAGGGCAATTATATGAAAAAACTAATTTTGTATTTGTATTCAATTGTTAACAGCATCAAGGTAATACACACGAAACTGTCTTACTCTTGAAAAGAAATTATGACAATGCTGTAACGCACAAAAAAAAACAATAATAATAAAAAATAAAATAAAATAAAAGGCTTTACAAACCTTGAGGCTTTGGGATGGTTGTGTTTGTGAAAATGACTTGAGTGGGAGTGCATATGATGTCCACAGGAACATCATGGATCAATAATTTCTCGACCGGAATATCATCTACCAATTGACAGTCATGCACTACAAGAGCAGTTTTCAGATTTCATTTAGTGCAGATTGACAAAATGGAAAACTAAATTTCATTATAAAAACATGCAATTGAACATTTTAAATCGCTCTAACATGCATATAAAGTACCACAATATTGTTCATTGGTCATGAAATGGAGAGGAAAGAAAACATAGGCATTCAAAGCATGAACACAAACTGCAACTACCAGAGGTGACAACAGGTGTTGAATCATCGATGGCTCCCATATACCGCAGCATCCCATATTCAAGTTCTGCAAATCCCTGAAACGCAGATCCTTTTCTAAGAAAGAAAAACGGGAAATCCAATTTACTTGTCAGAATCTACAATTTTATGACACAGTTTTACCTCAATGAAACTCTACATCTAATCAGTTCAATTTTCATAGTGACAGAAGCTTGGGGTTATATAATTTAAAATCTTCTCTAAGCAGTCAAAAACTTCAACTGTTCAACATACATATGCCATACACATTTAGACCGAATTCCACTACATTTTAAACAACTAAAGTAAATCAAAGACATCCAATGTATAAGTCTGAAAATATAATTTGTGAAAGGTCTTGGAAACCATCATTTATGGTTGACAAAGATGATTAGTCATAGCAAATAACAAATCATGAGACAATAAGGTAGAGATCAATTTTGACACCCCCATCTTAATCACATTGCTTATTTAGCAGTTAGCATCTAACCTAAAAAGGCATAAAGTTCCATTTTATTTGGTATACACTGCTCTCTCCTTTTTGCAGTATCACTGCTGAAGACCCTTACACTATAAAGAAAAGAATTCATATCATATTTTACATCATTTAGTACTTGCCTTCTCTATCAAGATTGTAACCTAACGAAACTTGTAATTCAATAAGATATAACATGTGTTGTTACCTCTCCCTTTCCAAGTCGAGCCCCTGTCTTCGGGTCAACAGCAACAGAACCAATGACAATAAGATCAACCTTAATCTTTTCATCCAATCCAATCGGTCTTCCATACTTGGCAACCCCTACAGAGGTGCACGCCTCATTGATTGTACTAGGACTTAACATGCTTGACTCAAGTACAGAGAAAAATCCAGTCCTCAAACGCGGCTGTGGAGTCAACAACTTTTTCCCACCTGTTCATGGATGATCTCTCAATGATATTAAGCAAACACCAATTTAAACGTAAACAATCTTATATATCTTAAGAGTTCATTCAGTATCATTTTACAATGCTGTTTTTAATAATGGTATTTTAGAATCCAATAACGCATTAGATAGTGCACTACTACAAAATATAAAGCCCTTTTCGTTTGTGAACTCATTTCCTATTTTTCATTTTTTTTGGTCATAAACATATATATAAACTTGAAAATTAAACATTTCTATATATCCAAGAGATTTAGCTCACCTTATCAAAACATTCTCATGCTAACCTAGAGGATTACAAATACTCCAGGCATTACTGTAGAAAGTTATTAAAAAAATTCTCATATAAATTGAATGATCATATTTTTAGAAATTAATAGAAAACAAAAATCATATAATTGAATACCATATTTGCTCAATAAAAATCAATCTTTTATTACACATTTATTATTAAATTTTGGATTCAATCAAGGAGATATTACTTTGATAACTAACCAGAAAGTGTAAGAAACCTGACTTGCTTCTGAGGCGAATCCGGGTTAACCTTCACACAACCGGCGACCTGAAACTCCTCCAACCCACCCAACTGCCAGAACCCGAATCAGAAACCTCCCAAAAATTAAACTTAAAGATTAAATAAAATAAAAGCTTAAAATAATAGGTTCTATTTTTTATACATTTTTGGCGGCAACGGCAGCGCCAACGAAATTGGGGATCCGATGGTGAACGGGGCGGGGGTTCTGGGAGAAATTTCGGGTCTCCATTAAATCCCAAACCCTCTTTCGGATTACCCATTTCCATGCTTTCGGGTCATCCTCTGTACCCATTTCCACCTCTCGTTTGGAGGTCTCAGCCATGGATTGTCGCGCCTTGGCGTCAAGGCTCAGCCGCTCGGCTTCATAAGCAGACTCGTCGAAGACGACACCGTTTTGGCCTTTGGTTTGATTTTCCAGTTTGAAATTGAATGACTTGGTTCGGGGAATTGAGGAGAGAAAATTGGATTTAAAATTTTTGGTGGTTAAATAACAATAATTGGATTCCAGCGTAAATGGAGCTGAAAATCGGATCACGATTGAATCCATTAAGAAGAATTCGGGTTATTTTCGGTTCCTGAGGTGTATTTGATGATCATATAATATGTGCTTGGACTTTGAGAAACGAAGAAAGATGATAAGGATTCAACGGCTCTGATTTGTGGTGTAATTTTAGTAGTATGTTATGACGTATTGATTAATTATGAGTTAATTGAATCCTTTGATTTTCTGAAAAAGCAAAAATCTCTTTTAATTAAATATCACTCCCTCCGTTTCAATACGCAATAAAACCTTTTTGTAATAATAATGGTAAAACAAATTAATTTTATTATTATAAAAAAATTATTATTTAATAAAAATATAATTATAAAAATTATTATTTTAACTTAATTATACTCAATAAACTTAGTTATACTCAATGTAAATAATATAGAGGTACGGTATGTACTATATTAATAATTAATTAATAGAGCATGTCAAATCCAATGTATCGACATTACTAATAGAGATAGACAGTTGCAAAAAACTATTACATGTATCTATATAGTGTTAGGAATATGCAAAGTCATCTTAAAGTCGGAAATTTTGCATTCTTTTTATCATTTTTCTCTCGATATAAATTCTATAAATACATTATACCATAACACAATACGTGCAATCTTCAACCAATTCAAGTGATACATTTCCTTCTTCCTCTAGCAAATCAATCATGCCACCACCCAAAGTTAATACATGAACTCAATTGACCGAAAATACTCATGTTGAGTTGTGCAAAATGAAAGAATCAAACCCCAACTGAAAGCAAAAAGATCTTGTGAAATAGTTAGAAGATACTCATGGTCTTAAGGTATCACAATCCTGAGGATGATATTACGGAAATACAAAAATTTTTGTGTGAAAAAACTCTAAACATGCTTGAGAGCCTAGAAATATTTTGACTTCAACAGAAGGTGTTCATGCTAGCAAGTTATTACGTACCCGTAAGTTCAAAGATGTGGAACAAACTCTAAGGCATAAATCATTGTCTCAAACAACTTTAAATAAATATTTTATTTCATCTTAAACATTTAATGTAATATAGCATTTATTTTTTGCAATATACAAATAATTATTACTATATAGAGACAAATTCCTTATGATGAGACCTAGAAAAATTATAACTTATTATAATACAAATTTTATTTTTATTTATAACTAGCTCAAGTATAGACCAAATTTTTTTATGATTATATAAAGTTTATTCTTATATAGAGTATCACTATAAAGATGTTCTACTATATATGTCGTTTTAGACTTATTACTTTTTTTTAAAATCAATGTCATTTGACAAAAAAGTTGAGCGATCCTCTCTCTCTTTCTTGTTTTATGGCCCATGTCTCCTCTCTTTTTCTTTTTCTCTAGCCCTCGTCTCCTCTCTCTCTCTCTTTCTGTTTCTTGGTGTGCTCTTTATTTTTAACAAATTCAAAATCTCTCTTGTCTCAATTTTGAATTTGTCTCCACGGCTTAAACTAACATCGCTCTTAGCTCGTTTTAGAGAACAAAAAACACAGCCCATGTTAGCCTCATCTACATCTCTCTGTTTATATATTGTGTTTTTGTTCATTCTTTCAAACGTCATTACCTCTTCACATTTCTCTCTAGTTTCAGATAATCGGCATCAAAATGTTCAGCTTTAGCTCGCAAAGCTTTCATAGGACAAATATGGTGACCTTATTTAACTTTTATGAAATTAATTAGCTCGCAGAGTTCTTTAAGGTTCAAACTTTAAATTAATATGGCATAATGCGAGAAGGAGTTATACGGCGTAATGAGACATTGAGAGGAGTAAAACCAAAAATGTTCCCACTAGACTTTGAGAGGGAAGAGTAACTTTAAATTGGGTAGCGTTTGGTTCAGAGTGATATAAGATTAATCCTGTAATCTTTGTTTAATTTTTAAGATTCCCTCATTTGGTTGTCAAGTAATAAAATGTTACGTAATCTTTTATTGCAAATAGTATTTACTGTTGGTAATATTGAGGGTAATCAGATTACCTTCCCAAGGAGTGTTATTATAAGATTACCGAGGTAATCTTAATTTTAACCCTATTTTGCCCTTAATAATTTATCATTTCAGACATATTTGCCCTCATATGTCTATCAAATAACAATTACCCAGACCCCCTACATTTGAGAATTTAGCTAAAACACCCCCGCTAAAAAAAAGTTTAAAAGTTAACAAAATACCTCTAACCATCAAAGACTACCGCCGACCGCTAGCCACCACCGCTGGCCGCCGGCAAAATTTGTCATATTGGCACAAGACCGGCAGGATCTTGCCGATCGTGTACTGATAAAGACGTTTTCGGCCATGGATTTGTGATCCATGGCCGGAAACGACCAGATCTGGCCGGAAACGACCAAAGATGTGGTCGTGAAATGGTCGCCGTTTCACGGCCACATCTTTGGCCATGAAATGGCCATATTAACGGCCAGATCTAGTGGTGAAACGACCATATTCACGGCCAGATCTGGCCTGATTAGGCCTTATCGGCGTACGACCAGCCAGATTCGGTTGGTCGTGTGCCATTATGGCGGCTTCCGGTGGTGGTGGTGGTGGCTGTGGCGGTGGCTTGGGGTGAGTGGGGGTGATTTTATTATAAATTAAAGTTGTATATGGTTGGGGTATTTTAGTAAAATTTCAAATATAGGGGGCTTAAAAGAAATAATTTAAAAAATAATAATAAAAATAATATTATATTATTATTTAAAAATGAAGGCAATTTAGTAATCTACATAACATACCCACTCATTTATCCTATCAATCAAACATATTATTATAACATACCTATCAATTTATTCTAACCCACCAAACACATTTCTTTAAAGATTCCTTAGTAATATATCTTTCCAGTAATACAATATTTCTCAATAATATAACATTTCCTAAACCAAACGCACCCTTGATAATTTGTCAATTCTTCAATCATTGAAGAGTAAATAAGAGCCAGCAAAGTAGGAGAAAGAAAATTTGAGCCAACTTTTGTTAATGTAAAAGAGTGCTAACAAATTATTGATGAGGATTTGTTTACATTAAAAAATTACTTTCTTATAAGAGAGAAGAATGTCATGGTTAGTTCACTACAAATTATGTAATTTGCTAAAATGATCAATATTTTGAAACGAAGGGAGTAATTTGTAAGTAATTGTTTACTAACCAATCATCAATAAGAGGAGGATTTTTGTAATTTTATCAAACTTATGGGGTGTTTGTTTGAGCTTATGAAAATTAGCAAGTGCTTATAAGCTAAAATTAGCTTATAAGCATTTGAAATTTTAAGCAATTACGTGTTTGGTTAAAGTACTTATAAGTGACTGATAAGTAGTTGACGTGTTTGGTAAAATGTAACTTATAAGTATATTTTATTATAAAATGACTAAAAATGGTACTACATTAAACAAGGGTATACTATGAAATTTTAAAATTAAACAAGGAAAGGATAATGTGGTAATATACTTGATCAAATTAGCTTATAAGTAGAGTGCTTATAAAGAAAAGAGAAAAAAAGTACCTCCCCCCAACTAATTTTTTTTTCTTTTTTTTTTGCTTTAAGCTCAACTTATAAGCTCAAAAAAGTTATAAACAAACAAGTCAGTTTAATTTTAGAGTTTATAAACTAGTTTGACCAGCTTATAAGCTTAAATAAATACCCTAAACTAGCTTATAAGCTCAAACAAACACTCTCATAGAGGGGTTAAATAACTCTTATTTAATATCAAACCTTAGTAAATTGAAGAAGAAGTGAAGCTACTACTACAGTGAACCATTTGTCCTATATGGACTAGCTAGATTAGAATTAGAAGACGACCTTGCTGATTATAAAGCTAAATGTGTAGTCACAACTCACAACTCACAAAACCACGATCTTACTTGAACAGATCTGTTTTATAGGCACGTACCTCTGTGTCCGTGATCAGAGCGTGATTAACATTAACAGTACCCTTCACCTTCCGGTGATCGGTGCAGTAGAAGACAGTAACTGGCTGGAATGGTCACACGGTTGTCTGACAGACTTCTCCAATTCTTTTAAATTTTTTTTTTTTTTTTTTTTTTTTTAACTTCTAATCTTTACAAGCCCAAATCACATTAAATCAGAAAATTTTCTTGAGTCCTCAAACTTTAGATTATCCTAAGGTTTAAAAATTAACCAATTCCAGAAACTGGCTAATGCCCTTTGGAATTTTTAGTCCAGAAGAGTCGATTCTACGAGTCATGAATCACCTGTGGGTGAAGCAAATGAATTAATCATAATTTCACATCAACTTTAGAGGCTATTTATCAAAAGAAAAATCTCATCTCTTTGTAAAACCAAATGCAAACCCATATTTCTTAGAATTACCAGCAATGGTCCTTCATCCATTGACACAGAATTAAAGAAGAAACTCAGACCCCTGATGAACATAGAGAGAGAGAGAGAGAGAGAGAGAGAGAGAGAGAGAGAGAGAGAGAGAGAGATCGGAGGTGCGAGGAGAGGAAGAGAGGGAGGTAAGGAGGAGAGGAAGAATGCAAACAGGAAACGTTTAATTCTTTAAGATCATGAATCAGTTGGGGAAATGAAATTTGCGTAACAAAATCGACTCGATCAGCTTGATTTACAAGATATATACAACAAGAATAATACATAAAGAGATCCCTAACCCAGAAAAGGTAATACATTTCTCTCTCTTCCTACTCTTCAAACTGACCATATATCTGCAAAAAATCTACCCCCAATTAAACAAACCTACCATAAATTAAGTGGTACATGCACTAAATATGAAATCAAAGTTGATAAGAAAAGGAAAATAGGAAACTGGGTTCACCACTGTAAAATAAGTTAATCCACCGTTACTACAGGAAATGAGACAACTAAGAAGACAGTCACCTACATAAAAATGTCCTTGTTTTTATATGAATCCTTAATCCTTGTAGTGTTCAGAGATCTTAACCCTGTTACTGTGAGTTTTCTCTTATCGACTGTAACTGGGAGAAGGAGATTCGGATAATAGACCCACCAAGTGAGCTGGCATGCTTGCACACAAGGGCTTCAGTGGCCTGCTCCTCAGTTTCAAACATGACGAGTGCCTGCTTCTTCCCATTCATCTCAAAGAGCTTGGTATTCACAATGGTTCCATGTTCCTCTAGGTGGCTCACAATCTCCTCTTCAGTGACATCTTGTGGTAGAGTGGAAAGGTGGATCATCTTTGTCGGCGAGCAGCAATAACGGTAGTTCTTTGCAGCATTACGGTTAAAGCGGTTGAGATTCGAGTTTATGTACTCATGTGTGTCAGCACCTTGTGTTATGTTTGGATGCTTAGAGAAGTTGACCTCCAATCGCTTTCCAAACAGTATGGCTCCCTGTATCATATTAAAATAGTTCACATATGGTAAAAAGGCAAAGTTTAGCAGGAGCAATAAAGACAATCAAAGTTCAAAATTAACTCCCTTTAGAAAATAGATAAATTTATCAACATCAGCTGTCTTAAAAATTCGGCAGGTTAGAGAAACTCTTTTAACTAAATATCCAAAAGTAGAGTGTACGCCCTCAGTTGAGAGAGGAACACCAACCTTCTCATCCGAATAACCGAGTCCATATCATTGCAATATCATGAGACATGGCTCAGGTTGATTTTGGACAAGGCTCAAGTTTCCAACCGAAAACACTAATCTATAAGAAGAAGCGACACATCCTCCTTATAAAGCTCAAGATCTCCTCTCAATCATCTGATCTGGGAATTCTAGGACTTTATAATCGCCCTTGAACAACAACTTCAACGTAATGAGAACACCGACTTTCTTGTCGAGATAATTAACTCCATCACAATGAGATGTTTTTGAAACTAGGGTTTTATAAGGACGATGAGTCACTCTACCTAATAAATAAATCTTTTGGGTTGGATATCCATGTCTTTTACACATGTTTTATAACATCAATTGATATGAACAAAAGAACCTCTCATCCTTGCTAACTTTCAGGTCTAGATTTTTCAGAAGCAAATGGCTGATGTAAATAGAACGTACTCTGTTTTGGACAATTTTCTTTCCATCTTTTATAATTTAATTTTATATTTCTATATATAGGTCAAAAGGAGTACCGCTTGCCCATTTTCAACTCAAAGTCACACATACTGAGCAAGCAACTAACTATAACCCCTCGTTGAAAGAATAATTAAGACAAGGCACAAAAATTTCGTTTATAAGGCAACAGATTGATGGATCAAGCGGCAGCAACCTCTAAAAGTCAACCAGAGCCACAAAAGAAAGGACTTTAAAGCCTAGATAGCTCACTGAAACTTAAATACGGACCATGATTTTTAACCCAACAGCCCCTGTAGTCTGTAAGTTTTCACCCACGGCCAAATAGTTAATAATATTATTGCAAGTCAAAGAATCATTCCAAGAGTTGATTTAAGGGAAAGTCTTGAGTGCAACAGATGCACATGCATCCCACCAATCAGGGAGTCTCACACCAGCCCATGTCATGCACATGCTCCCTCACTGGTTGGATACATGCTCCTTCATTGGTTGGATACATGCACATCCATTTCACCAAAGATTTTCTCCAGTAAAAGATTCTTATTTCCAAAATAAGCATTGTCATCTCTATTACCCAAAGGTCTCAGATTTGAAGTTTAAATTTTAAAAGTCGATCAAAGGTCTTAAATAATTTAGTTTTAACAAGAGCCACTGGTATTTATATACAAGTGCAATGTTTTTTAGGAGTCAATTAAGTTGGATTAGAGCTCCACCTATAGGTTCGTATGATGTTCATTTGGTGCATGAATGAATCAACAAAATTTTCCAAAAACAAAAAACAAGAAAAAAGCATTGTCTTTTGGTTGGTTTAACCCAAACTGACCAGGTATGATGCCTTAGGTTCCTAATTTTTCTTTTGTATACTTAATTGTTAACAGTTGTAAAAACAGCTCACAAAAACTTTGTTACTAGATCATATTTTGGCCAAAACAATACCCAAATCCTCAATTCTACCACGTGGTTCCCAGCTCCCACCCCCTTATCCTTGAGCCTCAAATGGAACAAAACGAGCCAAAAAGAACGAAAAGTGTATTTTTATTTTTTTTTTAAATTTCCAATGAGAAACTTCAAATATCAAAGAAACATAATCAAATGAGATTATTGCACGAACAAACCTTCAGAAAGTGCACCGCCAATTCAGCCTGGAAGCCATCGCCCATCTGAACAAGTGCATGATCTGGTTTATTACGGAGAAGTTTAATTCTTATGATGTTTCCGTAGAGGGAGAACAGGTTGAAAAGCTTATCCTCATCTATCCTCTGAAATGGAGAATAATATTCAAGAATGAATGCTAGGAATCTTAAAACTTCATATATTCTAAGGAAAAGAAAAAGGCAAAGAATAAGATCAGAGATAACGCACATCGGGATTTAGGTTGGACACTAAAACTGTACACCTCTCATTTGTCCCAGTTACTCCAGGAGGTAAACCTCCGCCAAAGGCAGCTGCAATTGCAGCCGCATTGGCCATCTAGATTTCAGGAAAAGAACAACAAAATCATTAAATCATGGCTGGGAAATCTAAAGAAACATAAATCAACATAATAGCTTTTCAAGATAACTACAATACACACATATGACAATTTAGTGCGATTGAAGAGCAGGAAATGTCATCTTGATGAGAGCCAACCCATCAGTAACATACCATACCATGGAGATTCAAATAACATAACCAGTTTAACAAAAAAGACATTTAATCATTGTCTATACAATCAATACCATACCCATCAACAACTTTTAGGTTAAATAAAATAAATTAACAATGTTGCAATGAGGAAATATGGATGCGTTTGGCATCCACAGCCCTCCATCAGTGTCACAAAGTTTAGCCCTGGTCAAAATTTCTTCAAAACCATTATTAAACTGACGCTCATTTCGATTTCAGTTTCAACTCACACACTGTAGGATTTAAAAGCTGGCAACGCAGAAAAATGCTAAAAGTTGGCAGTAATTAACACAATAAAACAAAATCATATAATCATATTAAAAAAATTCTAGGGAAAAAAAGCTAATAGGGTCAGCCCATAGACATCCAAAATAATCCCACACAGTATATATAGATGCTAATATCCACCAGCTCAGAAAGAGATGCCTCATATAGTACTTATACCATGAACTGAGTAGTACCAACCTGTGGAAATGGAACTGGAAAACAGAAAAACCAAAAATATCAATCAGTTCATGAATAAAACATACATACAATCGGTAAGCAAAAAGTAGAATTTCCATATGCAACCACCAAATTAAGCAACTGCCCTGGCTCCCGGGGCATACATACCTGCTGCATCGCCATACCCAGACTGTTACACCAAAAACAGATATAAGTTAGCATACAAAGGTAAACAATAGCAACAAGAATATCTTAACTATCATGCTTAAGTACAGAATAATAACAAGAGATCAAGAAATATACTTGTGAGGATCTGCCTTTCTGTTCTGAAGGAAGATTTGGATTTGTGAAGTCCCTAATCAACGGGAAAAAAAAAAATATAATACTCAGAGAACTGAAAAGATAATTTCGAACAGATAAAAGAGAATAAATTAAGAACCCAAGAGTACTATCCAACCTTGACCGATCATTATTGTAGTTCACTTGTAACTCATCAAGGCTGTATCACAAAAAGGAAATGACAAATTGATCACAAATGTCAAAAATATATATATATGTAAAATAGAACTATATGCTTGTGCAGAAGTTATGCCAATCACAAACACAGACAATGACATAATCACAGCAAAATTTCCAGAATGTTATAAACCTACTTTGAGAACTGAATGTCTAGCTGACAGCAACCATCATAAATATTGCGACCCTATAGAGAAGTCAAATGTTAACTCTTTTCAGAAAGCAAGCCACCAAAGAGCCCATAAACAAACTTGTATTTCAGAGTTGCTTAAGAAGCAAGAGACAGAATAGCACCTGAAGAGAAGTTCTAGCTAAAACAGCACTTTGGCGTAACTGATACTGGATTAGAGCTTGAAAACCTACACACAGTTTGAAAATAGGATGAAAAGAAGGAAAAAAAAAAAAAGTCAAAACACCAGACACAAAGCTCTAATGGAGCAACCATTGCTCTTTCTTAATTACAAGACATAAGAAATGTCCACGGAAACACTCCAACTATAATAAAAAACAATAGAGTTTACAACTTCAAAGCTATTGTTAGAATACTGATCATCAAAACAGTGAAAAAGAAATATTATCCATTGAGCAAATGCTCATGAGTTGAAGTGGGATCTAACTTTCGAAAAAATACAGAAAGAGAGAAAGAAAACTTGAAGAAGCTGACCAGCTGACTTCTGGAACGTGACGATCTTCTCCACAAATCCATGAGGAGAAAAAACTTGATGCAGCACTTCCACAGTAATAGGATAAAGCATGTGATGAATTGTAACTAAGAGAATTCGGTTCGGCTATGCATCCAGAGAGTGCCCAACAGCAAACCAGCAAAGAGACAGAAGAGAGAGAAGAGAATAAATAGAGAAATATAGACAGAGAGAAGGGAATATATAGAGAAGTAAAGGTAAAGAAAAGAACCAAAAGAAACAATCATCAACAATGCAACATTCAGATAATGCTTAAAACAAAGAAATCTGAAATCATGACAAGAGAAAATTAATGGTGAAAGAGCAAGAATGTATATAAAGATATTGATTTCGTTGGTTATTTGCATTCAGTGATCTAAAGTAACTTCTCTACCACACTTCTACTTTGCACATTGGAATACATACACCTCTATGGTTTAATATACAAATATGCAATGCATCAAACTCTGCATTAGAAAACATAAGAATGCAAATTGGCTCTCTGACATGACACTAAAAATGGTGGACCAGCATGGCTTTACAGCACGTTGTAATACATAAGAACAGTTTTCTCTGTGATGTGGGTTATACAAAAATACAGTTCCTCTGTATCTCACAATTGAAGTGATATTTTTAGTAACAAGAACTTAATACTGGTCCCCAGCAGAAAAGACAATATCGGTATTTTTTATATGGATTGCCATGACTCATACCCTCTAGGCCTTACACTAACTCTCAAACCAAAATATTGAACTAATATTATCTTGCCATCAATATGCACAATTATCTCGTTATTTTTCTATGGATTGCCATGACTCAGTCCCCTCAAGGGCCTTACACTAACCATCTCTGAAACCAAGATATTGAACTTATATTATCTTGGCCATCAATATGCACAAATATCTCGTTACTGTCCATAGTATTATCAAAGTAAACATTCCATTTAATGTACTAATTTAGATTAGTTCCTGCTCCAGGTTATGTCAACATCTAAGGTGATATCAACAGTAGACTGATTACAACCAAATCAAAACATTATGAAGATAAGAAAAATTAAATAAAGACATGATAAGAACATCAACCCTAGTTCTCTAGTGCCCTGAATGATAAAATGATCATTGTCACAAAAACAAGACACCAACTGTTCCATTCAAGCTCATTTTTCTTTTCCCTTGAACATAACTATATGCATGTAATTTGATTTCAACATATCAGGCTCAGTTACAAACCTCATCCCCTCGTCCTTGAGTATTTTGATCCATCGTCGTTAACTCCTGATGTGACGAGAACTGAACATAAACATTCCTTCCCCTGGGATGACACAATTCAACTTTTAAACAAAGAGGGGCAAAAATTGTATTTTTAATAGCTTCAAAACACCCAGGTAATATTTACAAACACAAAATAGAATATCCTCAAAGCAGGGTTTTCAAAGGAAATATTGGCAATATTTTGGTACCTTATGGATGGTTGGACGTTTGCGTAATACTGGAGAGCAGCTATGGCTGAAGGAACATCTTGCATTTGGAGGAGAGCCTAAACTCAAGGCAGACAAAGTATAAAAATCAAATCTTAAGATTTGGCTGGCTGCAGTCAGTAGTGAGCAGCTGCCTTGACCATATGTTCAAGAAATAACAAACCTGATTCTTTGCACGAAGCATCACAAGCTTAGTAATGACTCCAAATGGCTGGAACAGCTGAAGTAAATCATTCTGATAAACCCAGAGCAAGTCTATTAGATGATGTATAAGTAAAGAAGAAGAAGATGCAACCACAAGATACAAACGAAACACGAGAAATTTATCTCATCCCAAGTTTCATCACCCTTACATTCAATGCACTAGGCACTTAATTACAAAATAACATTTCTCTTCCCACTAAAACTAATTACTCTAACGTAAATAACAGGAAATTGAGAAAGAACATACTTCAGAAATCTCATGGCCCACATTGCGAACGTGAACAACTTTTGAAGGTTCAGCCATTGAAACTGTAAATCACCCTGTAACAAGTCCACCCACAGTAAACATTTCAGCTTCTAGCGCAGCATTGCTTTTCAACATGCAGTTATCAAATTTTAAACACTACCAATACGCATTAAGCACCTACTTAACAACCCAAACGTAATTAAACCCACATTAAAAGAATTAAACTTTCCACTAAACGCCTCCCGCAACCTAAATTCACATAACTCACAATCACATTAAATCAACAACACGACGTCGTTCTATCTAGTAAGTTACTTATAAAAAACGACAGTACGAGTCACAAGACCACGTAGATTGATTCAGATAACGAAACGCCCTAACCTAACACTTCGAATCTAAACAATATAACAAGTAAACAAAACGTTGTCGTAGCATCGCCCTGACTTTTATTATTGTCTTCAAACAAACAGAGAGAAAAATCATGAAATCGAAGAGAGAAAAAGAGAATAAAAAGAATAAAAAGAACTTGCCTGAGAGAAAGAGACAGAGAGAGGAAAGAGAGAGAGAGAGAAGGTGACTCAGCAGTTAAAGTGTAGATCAATTGCTTCGCATGTTGTGTGAGTTGTGATGTGTCGAGAAGAAGAAGAAGAAAGAAGAGAGAGCCTGAAATGGTGGGAGTGATTGCGTTGCCCTATCTGTTTCTATCTCTCGCCCTAAAAGGACCGACTTTTTTACGAGTTATGTTATGTGGCGGGGCCCATCTCGGCGGACCCATTTTATCATCATTTTTTTTTTGTTTTTTTTTTTGTTTTTGGGTGTTACGTACTGACACTGTAACTTGCTGTGTTGGTTTAAAGCTGTGGATTGGTACCGTTTTAATTTGCAGTTGCTGATCCAATGGCTTTTAAAGGTCTGGTAATGTTGCCGGATCGCTTAAGCAGCCTTTCCCTTTGTGATTCAAATTTTTGGTGTAGCCATGGGGGAGTGGAACTCTATATGATTTGGAAAGAATGATATTATACACGTAATCAAATCATCTGAAACAATGACACGTCATATAAAAAAATATGTAAATTTTAATTCCTTTTTCAAGTTAGTATGTATTTCTATAAAACCATCTCCAACCTATTGCACTAAATTAGTGCAAGTTTTGATATAAAATATTATTGCATCTCCAATCTATTACATCAAAAATAAGGAATATTTTTTAGAATATTCTCTTTTTTTTTATTGTAATAATCAACAATTAATCTATTTCACTCATTATTTTTGTATATATTAATTAAATATTAGAAATGATATTTTTATTAAATAATAATTACTTTGAAAATTATACTAATTTAATAAAATTAAGCATTTATTTAATCAAATAAACATTAAATTTAATATAGAAAAACATTACATAATATAAAATGATACCAAAAAAAAAAAACAATAACAACACAAATTTTCATAATTTAATTTTCTGAATTAGTATATTCTTCCCACAAATGATCAATTAATGTATTTCGAAGAGCATGGTGAACCTCTGTATCCTTACAGGATCTCAAAATAACTCTAGTTTTTTTCAATATTTTGATGATCTTACAGGATCCGGAACTAATCTACCAGAATAGTAAATTGTTATTTTAGTTTGTGTTGTATTTTCTTTTAATTTTAGTGTTATTAAATTAGTGTTAATTTTTATTTTGAGTTATTGTAATTTAATATTTACATTGAATAAAGTTTTGTTTTTAATTTTTCATCATTTTTTGAATTATATCATTATTATAAATTTTTTATTATAAATATTAATATAAATAATAATCAAATTAAATTAAATATAAATAATCAAATTTGGTGTGATTTTTGGTATAAAATTTAATAATTAAATTAATTTAACAAAATTTAAAAAAAAAAAACAAAAAAATTTGATGGTGCTACCGTCTCCACACCAATTTGGCGCAGCAATTAGCGCTCAGTTGGAGCAAACACCAAAATGGCAGGGGTTGGAGATGCCCTAAGTTCTTGAAAACTGTAAGTTTGGATTTTCACAAAATACGGGGGGGCTTTTGTAATATTGAAATAAATTGGAATTTTTTTTTAATTTCAGTTGGAATTACACGTGATACGAGAGATAAGTGAAACTTTTTTATAATTTAGAATGGGGGATTATTTCTATTTTTTATAATAAGGTGTCTATGTGTCGTGATATGATGGCTCGTGAAATTGTTATAGATTATCTTATAAGGTTTGTAGTTTTATCTTCGTATTGATTCGACGATAGTGTTTATGCTTTTGGAATATCCATGGTTGTTGACATCAATCTTTTTATTATTTCCATCAACAGCAATTAAGTTAGAATGGAGTTACTCAAATCTTAGACCGAGTAAAAGACAAATATGGGTCCAAGAATGGTAATCTAATGAGCATTAAAACATTAGCAAAAGGGTCATTAAGAGTGTTTGCTAGTGTGTCCCTTATAATACTCAAAGTTAGCACAAAATCTCATTTAGCTACTTGGATTTTAGGGAATAAATGTGTTCATACTCTAGAGCAGTGGCAGACCCAGGGTTTTTGCCCAGGGGGGCCCCCTCGCTCTGCCATTGCTTGCCAATCAACTAGTGAAAACATAAGAAAATAACATCTAATTCACAAGGAAACACAAGAAAATTGTTACATGGAAAAACCTCTTTAATGTGAAGAGATAAAAACACCACGAGAATCTAACGATCCACTTAAATCCAATATAATCAAAAGAGTTTGTTAATGCATATTTTTGACAAACATACAAATGTAGCAAGTGCACTAGTCGCAAAAAGTAATAAAGTGATAAGTAGAGTATCGTTCCCACGAGGATAGTATTACAAAGTACCTATTTCTCTAGTTTAAATCCTAATTGAAGCAACAATAAATTGGATTGATAGAAAATTAACGAACTAAATACAATTTAAGAAAATATAAATGAATTATAATGAAATTAAAGGAAAACCCAATAACTTAACTAATTAAACAAAATGCCAAAAAAAATGCTAGGGTGTTGATTTCACATAGATACGCTAACCTAAATCATAGAATCTATTACCTAAGTTCTAATTACTTGATTGAAAATCGAATTCCCTAAGTTATAAAACATACCTTCTTAGGCTATATTTTCCTACTTATCCCTATTAAGCTTCCGCACCCAACAAAATGAAAGTTAATAGTTCAAAGTTTTTTAAGCTTTATAGAATTCTATCTAGATTTCATAAATCGGTAAACCTATCTCTAGCATTTGCTTAATCTACGGTATTTATCCCAAGAGGCACAATCACAAATCACTTCTTAGTCTCATTGTGAACAACACACATTTGAATGGTGATCAAGCATCCAAAAGTCATTAAGCAAAGAGATAAACACTCAATCATAAAATTAAAACTCAAAGTAAATCAATTCATATAAATTTGAATCATTGTATCAAGGTTACATCAAACCCTAGCTAAACAACTCAATTCATACTCAAAAACAAAATAAAATAAAATAAACAAACTGAATCAAGAATTATCATTGAAAAACAAGCAAAAGATGGAGAAATTCTGTAATTTGAAACCCAAATCTTTAATAATCTTCTCCTTCCAAGAGCTACCTTCCAAATGACGAACCAAGACCCTTTTTCTTTCATTTTCGTGCTAATTTATATCTCTTTCACTTAAGGACCAAGCCCTAGCAAGTCAAAACGCGTTGTTTTATTTTTCACATCTGACACAGTTTCGCCGCGACGAAGCTTTTTCCTTACCGCGGCGAAAATCTTTTGAGCCAAATTTGAGCATGAAAGAGTCTGAATCTGAAAAAGTGTTAAACATATGAATAGTAGCCCTTTAAATTATATTTCTACTCGTTTAAGAATCAGAACAATCCGAGGTCTACAGCTCAAGTCATGACAGAAATATTGAAGCACATCCAAAGACCCTTTTCTTTAGTTTCCAACATTCTGTTCACGACTTCAAGCCAAGTTTTCACCTTTGTCCAATCAGAATTAGGAAAAACCCAAAACACGAAAGTTGTAGCTCTGTTTCTTAGCTTTCCAAAGCTTCTAAAATCAGGTCATTCTGAGTTTCCAAGCTCAAGTTACGTAATTTACGCTCAAAATTGTCATTTATTCTCAAAATCTTCATTTAGGCTTGCAAAGACAAATTAATAGAATTAGGTAACAATTATGACCCAAATTGTATGAGAAATATCCTAAATCCTATCAAAATTTAATGCAAAATCATAAGAAAAAATATGATTATCATTTACAACAACCACAAATCTACCAAAAATATTCTAGACAAATTTAGAACTCAATCACAACTCTAATAAAAATAAAATACACAAAGGTTTACAAAAGATTAATTACAATCACTCCAAATCCAGATCCGCATGTAAAAGGGAAGTTGGAAATTGGGGAAGAAAAACTTGAATATGACAAAACCTAACTTTTTAATTTTTTAACTTTTAACTTTTCTTTTTTACCTTTTAATAAAACTTTTCAATTTATTTTTTAAAGTTGAAGGCAGGCCTGGGCCTACCCTCAAGGGCCTGGGTCCGCCCCTGGAGAATGAGAAAATGTTTATGCCTTGTGAATATTCACTTAACAAACTTATTAAAATTATGGTTATCTTTTATAACATCATATGAAAAGTATACGTATCGTTATTGAGTTGTGACATTCAATGCTCTTTTTTCCAATTATGATAGGACAACTATTTTATTATTTTTGAACTCACAAATTGTTATTTATGTTAAAATTTAACAGTCTTTTGGAATTAGTGTAAGACTCTTGAGCGTCTATTGTAACGGTTTAGGTTGTAACGGTTTAGGTTGATAATCCCCATAACAATAGTAATAATTGTTTGATTTGGAATTTCATTAAATGGTGATGACTTCCCTTCTTGTTGATCTAGTAACGGCGGTGGCACGAATTATTCTAGAAACGCACTCACAGTTTCTTAATGATAATGATTGTGAATATTTACTTGTTATGCCTACTAACTTAAAGTTACTATTGGGATATGTGCACTATTTCTATTTATATCTGCATAACATCAAAGGAAGATACATGTATTGTTATTGAATTGTAACATTTAGTGTTTTTTTTTTTTTTTTTTTAACTGAGGTAAGATCACTACTTTGCCCTTTCAAAGCCCACAAATTGTCATTTATATTAAAATCCTTTTGAAATTTAGTGTAAGGTTCTCTAACTAGGAGCACTTGTCATGAGGGTTTAGATTGGTAATCCTCATAACAATAGTAATAATTATTAGATTTAGAGATCCATTAAATGGCAATGACTTCCTATCTTGTTAATCTAGTGAAGACGGTGGCACAACTTATTCTATAAATGTACCCACAATTTACTCACATAACGTCAATAAAAGATACACATTTGGTAATCTAATGAGCATTAAAACATTAACAAAGGGCCACTAAGAGTGTTTGCTAGTGTGTCCCTTCTAACACTCAGAGTTAAAACAAAATCTCATTTTGCTATTTGGATTTTAGGGAATAAATGTGTTCATACTCTAGAGAATGAGAAAATATTCATGCTTTGTGAATATTCACTTAACAAACTTATTAAAATTAGGAGGCGTTTGGTTGGGGGTTATGTGGGATTACTGGGGTAATGTCATCTTATATTATTTGATTACCATGTTTGGTTGTCAAGTAGACCTAGCAAAATGGGTCTGGACCTGCGGGTCGACCCTAAACCCAGGT